TAGGTTTTCTTTTTCTCCAAGCTAACATATTGCTAAGACTGTTGCAATACCATGAGTATCCAAAGAACTCAGCTTTTAAATAACTTTTTGAAATAGCATCTCTAAGGAGCCAAGTTATCCATTCCCCTTTCCCCCCGTTTATCCTTTAATCGTATCTATAACAAAATTCTTGATCATGATTGGCTCTCCGCGCTCCTATTTGTCACATAAATCGGCACGCAATCACATGGGTGTCCAGTTACAGGTGTCCAATTTGAACTTTTTGTACTTGGATACCTGTAATTGGATACCCTCGTGATTCGCACATCAATTACTTGTGCTTTAATGGCTTCCTTCTCAATGTTTTCTACAGTTTTCAAAGCTCATGAAAAGTACTACAGAGCATGTTTGCTCAAAACAAGTTCTCAAAAGGCATATTTTATTCCGAAATTTGTTATAGATATGACGAATTAGTAATTGGACCTTGTGTCATACAATTCAGGGAGTAATCACATGTGTAATTTCAAATTGGCCTCGCGCTTCCTGCTCATCCGATTTCAAAATTACTCGTGTGATTACTCCCTGAATTGCACTCCACTTGGTCCAATTACTATTACTAATATTGATTAATTTACAAACCTTTGTTAGGCATTTTGAAATATGCCCTCGTCCACACCCAAGATCCAGAGCCATTGGAAAATACCTGAGAAAAAAATAATATTTTGTGTGATTTCAAAGTACCTCAGTCACTATTTTGTGTGATTTACGCAGTTTCCTTACAGTCTCATTCATTGTCTGATCTGAAGAATATTCACTCCATTTTGGCGCATAGGCCACTGACGAATATTGCTTCCATTCCCTTCTGTCCCTGACCAGGTGTTTTATCTCAGTCCACGTGTAGCCTTTTGACTGAGCAGGATACTGCATCATTCATTATACATGCAGGTTATTTACAAACTCTTCAGACTTGTGATGTAATGTTGATCATCTTGTCATGAGCATGGGATGGTCAGAAAAAGAAACATCAAGAATCCCCAGTAAGCTACTGAAAACTCTCAGAGAGCTGCAGGCCTGGACAGAACTAGTTGAGACAAATTGAAACAGTGTTCCTTCATTTTACTGTTCTACTGAAAATTCCAAAGCATTGTCAATTGATGCATGGTGGAGCAATGGAGCAATGTTGTTTGGGATAAGACAAGAATTGTGTCCATTGTTTTCCAGACCAAAACAACACTGACTGGGGACAGACACAGTTGTGTGAGGTAAAATAAAGGTAAGGTCTACATACGAGCCAACTGGCCCATCAGGCTAGAGCCCATCCCGATTTCTGTAGCATATTTTTACCCCCAGCATTAAATTCCCCAGTACCCATTTATACACCTCGATAGAGACAGGCATTGCGAGAGTAAAGTGTCTTGCCCAAGAAAACAACCCAATGTCTCCAGCTAGGACTTGAACCTGGACTGTTTGATCCAGAATTGAGTGCACTAACCATGAGGCCATCACTCCTAATGAGTGGAGACAGGGGAGGCCAGGCAACTTTGATGTGATTTGATTATAATGTAGTATCACATGCATCTAAAACATTAATAAAACTGTCTCAGCAGTTTTCTCCAGGGTTGTAGGTCATTTTACTAGGTTTTATCATGATATGCATCCTGCCTATACTATAAGGATCAGCAGATCAAGGATTAGCTCAAGGTCTGGTTCCCGCACTGCATCCTCTACTAAAACAAAAAGGTTTACCTGGCAACATCTCCTATTCTATCAACCATTCTTTCAGCAACCTAACAGGAGAAATTTTTTGTCAGATGAGTCTTTCCAGAAAATATCCATGCCCACCCATTGTAGAGGGTTGGAGTGAGGAGGCAATCAGGAAAAGACCAGACTGAAAGCATCACAAAGAGCTGTCAGCTCTATATTCCTAATTGTGCATTTGCCCACCCCTAGACCCCACCCACAAGAGGGGAGGAACAGTTTGCATTATATTTCATGCTTTGAATCTAGCCCAGTATAAAGGGAAAGCATCAAACGGCAATGCTTACCAAATAAAACTTAACTACTGTGAGAAACAATATCATTCATTTTCATACCTCATCTTTTAGATAGTCGTAGACAGCGACATTTTCAGCAAGGGCTGCCCTGTTCTTTTGCCTTCTCTTTGCTTTCCTATCAAACACGTTCATAATAGTTTCATCTTGCCTTCTTGTACTAAAACATCTCCTTAGACTAGAGTGCCTGAACAAATGCAAAGAGACAAGCTTGTGGTAGGACATTGTAAAATTCACTCAGCAACAAGCAAATATAACAGTTAGGGAGGCCATTTGGCCAAAAGAAGAGCCATGTTTTTCATGTAAACTTGGCCACCATGATGAACGAGACTCCACTGGGGAATCTGGGGCGAGTAGCTTGGTAACCATTCAAGTTAAGGGATGGTTACCAAGTCCAGGCGGGAAGGCGGGAAAATTAGAAAAGTTTACGGGATCGCCAAGATACAATTTTATTTATGATTTTTTGCCATTCTGTCATGTTTAAGGAGTATGTTACTTCGCTAAGGAAATACATCCAAGAGCGTACAAATGGAAAATGTGTTCCCCCGTGGAATTGGCTCTTCATCAAGCTCGCTTCGCTTCTATCCCGCTATCCCTCTGGTATTACAAAGGCCATCATTTTGGCGGAGATTCAACAGTCTTGGAATCAACACAGTCAGTTTCACGGGCGTTTAGATGGACAGAAAGCACGAAAGATTTCTGTTGATTCGGTGTTTGAAAGCCGGCACATTGGCTACGAATCAATCCTCGAAGCAGCTGTTGAAAATATCGAGACGGTACCAGGAACTCATACAAAGATTGCTGTTTTGAGAGATATTCATAAGCGAAAGAATACTTTGGGAATGTACCTTCATCAGAAGCTTTATCAGTTGCAAGCAACGCCTGTGAAAAACCTCACTCTCCGATTCACAAGTTGTCGTTTAATTCAAGGCAAAAGCAGATCCTCCGCAGGTCCTAAAGTTCATCTTCTTCCTTCGGAAAATGTTGTTATTCTGTGTCGAGAAGGTGAACTAGCGCGATTTGGGAAATTTTCATCACTCGAGGGAATCTATGAAAATCCGTTCCCGCACTACGGCCACAACATCAAAGTCGAAGTCGCCGATTTGGGATTCGAAGAAGCAGTCCATTTTGCTAATGGCCAGACGAGCATTAAACGTTTTGTCAAAGTCGTTGACTGTTATGGCGTCCATGTGAATTTGTGCTTGTGGGATGAGCAGCTTTCCGTTGCTATTTTGTTTAAAGAAGGTGATACTTTAGCCATCCAACAACCCTTTGTGGTCCCAAACCAGGAAGAAATGTTTATACTAGAATATGGTCCTGCAACAGTTATTTTTTGCATGTCACATGATCCAGAGCAGGAAATTGTCCCAAGTCAAATCTCCAGTACCCAGGGGACCCCTGTAAGTGTTACAAAAGACAGCCAAGGGATGCTGGATTATTCCACATTTCCTGAGCAAATCTGTTTGAGTGATATCAGGTCGAGCATGACAAAAGTGACCATATTCTGCACCATAACAAATGTGGGTACCATGGAGGTCTACACACAACAGCAGGTCGTGGGACATAANATGGTGGAGCAATGGAGCAATGTTGTTTGGGATAAGACAAGAATTGTGTCCATTGTTTTCCAGACCAAAACAACACTGACTGGGGACAGACACAGTTGTGTGAGGTAAAATAAAGGTAAGGTCTACATACGAGCCAACTGGCCCATCAGGCTAGAGCCCATCCCGATTTCTGTAGCATATTTTTACCCCCAGCATTAAATTCCCCAGTACCCATTTATACACCTCGATAGAGACAGGCATTGCGAGAGTAAAGTGTCTTGCCCAAGAAAACAACCCAATGTCTCCAGCTAGGACNCCCCCTGGATAGGATGCTAGTCCATTGCAGGGTTACCCCCAGCATTAAATTCCCCAGTACCCATTTATACACCTCGATAGAGACAGGCATTGTGAGAGTAAAGTGTCTTGCCTAAGAAAACAACCCAATGTCCCCAGCTAGGACTTGAACCGGGACTGCTCGATCCAGAATGGAGTGCACTAACCATGAGGCCATCACTCCTAATGAGTGGAGACAGGGGAGGCCAGGCAACTTTGATGTGATTTGATTATAATGTAGTATCACATGCATCTAAAACATTAATAAAACTGTCTCAGCAGTTTTCTCCAGGGTTGTAGGTCATTTTACTAGGTTTTATCATGATATGCATCCTGCCTATACTATAAGGATCAGCAGATCAAGGATTAGCTCAAGGTCTGGTTCCCGCACTGCATCCTCTACTAAAACAAAAAGGTTTACCTGGCAACATCTCCTATTCTATCAACCATTCTTTCAGCAACCTAACAGGAGAAATTTTTTGTCAGATGAGTCTTTCCAGAAAATATCCATGCCCACCCATTGTAGAGGGTTGGAGTGAGGAGGCAATCAGGAAAAGACCAGACTGAAAGCATCACAAAGAGCTGTCAGCTCTATATTCCTAATTGTGCATTTGCCCACCCCTAGACCCCACCCACAAGAGGGGAGGAACAGTTTGCATTATATTTCATGCTTTGAATCTAGCCCAGTATAAAGGGAAAGCATCAAACGGCAATGCTTACCAAATAAAACTTAACTACTGTGAGAAACAATATCATTCATTTTCATACCTCATCTTTTAGATAGTCGTAGACAGCGACATTTTCAGCAAGGGCTGCCCTGTTCTTTTGCCTTCTCTTTGCTTTCCTATCAAACACGTTCATAATAGTTTCATCTTGCCTTCTTGTACTAAAACATCTCCTTAGACTAGAGTGCCTGAACAAATGCAAAGAGACAAGCTTGTGGTAGGACATTGTAAAATTCACTCAGCAACAAGCAAATATAACAGTTAGGGAGGCCATTTGGCCAAAAGAAGAGCCATGTTTTTCATGTAAACTTGGCCACCATGATGAACGAGACTCCACTGGGGAATCTGGGGCGAGTAGCTTGGTAACCATTCAAGTTAAGGGATGGTTACCAAGTCCAGGCGGGAAGGCGGGAAAATTAGAAAAGTTTACGGGATCGCCAAGATACAATTTTATTTATGATTTTTTGCCATTCTGTCATGTTTAAGGAGTATGTTACTTCGCTAAGGAAATACATCCAAGAGCGTACAAATGGAAAATGTGTTCCCCCGTGGAATTGGCTCTTCATCAAGCTCGCTTCGCTTCTATCCCGCTATCCCTCTGGTATTACAAAGGCCATCATTTTGGCGGAGATTCAACAGTCTTGGAATCAACACAGTCAGTTTCACGGGCGTTTAGATGGACAGAAAGCACGAAAGATTTCTGTTGATTCGGTGTTTGAAAGCCGGCACATTGGCTACGAATCAATCCTCGAAGCAGCTGTTGAAAATATCGAGACGGTACCAGGAACTCATACAAAGATTGCTGTTTTGAGAGATATTCATAAGCGAAAGAATACTTTGGGAATGTACCTTCATCAGAAGCTTTATCAGTTGCAAGCAACGCCTGTGAAAAACCTCACTCTCCGATTCACAAGTTGTCGTTTAATTCAAGGCAAAAGCAGATCCTCCGCAGGTCCTAAAGTTCATCTTCTTCCTTCGGAAAATGTTGTTATTCTGTGTCGAGAAGGTGAACTAGCGCGATTTGGGAAATTTTCATCACTCGAGGGAATCTATGAAAATCCGTTCCCGCACTACGGCCACAACATCAAAGTCGAAGTCGCCGATTTGGGATTCGAAGAAGCAGTCCATTTTGCTAATGGCCAGACGAGCATTAAACGTTTTGTCAAAGTCGTTGACTGTTATGGCGTCCATGTGAATTTGTGCTTGTGGGATGAGCAGCTTTCCGTTGCTATTTTGTTTAAAGAAGGTGATACTTTAGCCATCCAACAACCCTTTGTGGTCCCAAACCAGGAAGAAATGTTTATACTAGAATATGGTCCTGCAACAGTTATTTTTTGCATGTCACATGATCCAGAGCAGGAAATTGTCCCAAGTCAAATCTCCAGTACCCAGGGGACCCCTGTAAGTGTTACAAAAGACAGCCAAGGGATGCTGGATTATTCCACATTTCCTGAGCAAATCTGTTTGAGTGATATCAGGTCGAGCATGACAAAAGTGACCATATTCTGCACCATAACAAATGTGGGTACCATGGAGGTCTACACACAACAGCAGGTCGTGGGACATAAGTTCATTCTTGCTGTCAGTGATAACACCGGATGTCAGACGATTACAGTTTATGATCACACTAGAAGTTACCACAATTCACTCTATGTGCACCAAAGCATTATACTGGAGAATGTTCACACCTCAGGTATGGGAAAAATAAAGGCTTGCATAACAACAAAGGATTAGTATATTAAATGGCAGAACTCTCAGGGATCACTCTTGTGGGAAGTCACTTTACTCTTACAGTGCATCTCCCCCCCCCCCCCCCCCCCCCCCCCCCATCTTCCTCTCTTTGTCTTTAAATATTAAATTAATTGAGTTGTAGGCGAATGTTTTACAATTATTTACAGTTTTACAGTTTTATTTATTGCCATTATAAATTTCAAAGTACAATTTACATTACCCGCATGGGCTAATCGAGGCGGGCATTTTAATAAATAATACATTAGGTCACAATAAAAGGAAAGAATAAAATTAGATTAACAAACACATAAGCAAGTACAGTAAGTGGAACTAGTGATAAGTGAGACCAATGATAGAACGAATTGTGTAAAGGGAAAGTTAGGCCCAGTTCACACAGCGACATAACCACATAAGAAGGACGTTATACCGTTATGTTTGCAGTGTGAAAATCCTGTCATAACGGTATAATAGCAACATAACAGCATGAACATAACGACATAAGGAAAAAAACTGATCTTTTCCTTACGCTTTTATGTCGATGTTCACATTGCGACAAGCTATCATGTCACCATGTCGTTATGTCGCTAGTGTGAAGAAGGCCTTGTAATACAGTCATGAGATACACCAATTATGGCTGCTAATCACTGAGCCTGAGGCTAAAAAATTGTTTCAGTATAATTTTCAGAGGTGAATATCAAGTGCTACAAGGTGTTGAAAACATTTGTGGTCTAAGGCAGCAGTAGTCATTTCAAAAATTCCCCCTGCTTTCAAATGCCCTGACGTTGGAGTTATGCCTTTCGGAAAAATAAAATGGAAATTTCATTCAGCAACTGTCCGCCATGTTTACTTAGCTTGCCAAAGTGGCAAAGGTGGCGAGCTTAGTAGCTTGGTCTTAGCTGGTAGCCAGGCACCAGAGCTGTCTTCCCCAACCCTCNCCCCCCCTCCAAATCTTCCTATTTTTTAAATCCCTACATGCCAGAATTTTCTTACCCCAAATTCCCCCAAAAAATGTGCAATCCCATTCTACTAACTCTATTGAAAATTCCACCCCATGATAGTTAATCCACTCGTGAAAATGTGACCCCATCCAGTGGTACAGGTACATCCCCATTAGCCTATTCCAAGGAAGTATCCTCCCCCTCCGCCCATGTCCTTCTCAGCCTAGACGGAAGCCAGTTTGGGAGTAGACAAACATGGAAGGTCATACTATGACCAGTAGCACTTGCAACTGCGACAGTAGACATTCACAATGATTGAGTTTTATTTTTTTATTTTTTTTCATTTTACAGGTTCTAGTTCATCAAGAGGCTTAACCCTAGAAACATACAATGGAGGAAAGGTCTGGAACATTAGTGCAATGACAGGATGGCTTGCTACCAAATGTCTGTCATCTCCAGTCCCTGTCAAAGAAGTCATCAACTTTGAACACTGCGTGTGTCAAGCTGTCGTCACACAAGTCAACAGTGTGGGTAGCAGTCATGTGATTAGGGTTCACATGTCCTGCCGTAGTGAGGTCGATGGCTGCACAGGGCAGTTCTGCTGTCAGAAATGTGGCATTACTCATTTAAATGAAATGCTTAACAAGCCTGGTCAACAGGTGAGAATTGATAAGAATATCAGGGTACTTTCATATGGTAGTGTTTCACCATCTTTGGTTATCAAGACAAGGCTGTTACGGTGTAGTTAACATAATTTGCTTACTGTAATCAGGGCTTGGAAAAAGTAAGTCTGTCATCCAGGACGAGAAGATTTTCATTCTGGGCAGGTAACTCTTCATTCTCACTCGCCCAAACGGCAAGGGATCAGGCAATTCACCTTCCAACTTAATCACTAAAAGAACAGACTAAAACTTGCCCAGGGCAAGCAAAACTTGAGATCTACTTGTCTCAAGGGCAAACAAGAATTCAAGTTTTTTTTCAAGAATTCAAGTTTCTTTTCAAACCCAAGACAATGTTAAAGGTTATTCTACATTGATTTCCAATGCAGAACCTGCTATAGGCTGCAAACAGCTGTTTTAGCCAGGGGTGGGGAAATTGACCGGCTATGAGGATGATTTTGTTCGCCTGGGCTGGGTTGTTCGAAAGCCGGTTAACACTAGACCAGGATTAAAAGTTAACCAAAGTATCAATTTTTCTTGGATAAAAATGTTTTTCATTGCTTATGTATTGTGCAGTTTAAGATTATTCAAACTGAAAGACAAACAATGTAAACAGAAAACCTCACCGAACGGTTATAAAATTGAAATAAAAAATTCTCGCTAAACCTGGGTTAACTTAATCGGGCTTTGAACAACCCAGCCCTGATGTGACCATCTTACTCATAAAGAAGTTTAATTCAAAAAGTTTTGCCTGCCTGTGAAAACCAGTCACCCTCCTACTGGAAAAGTCAACAAAACCCCTAATTTTAGCAAGCTGGAATGGTCGCTAATGGGAAGTCTCCCTTAAAGTTATTGAATTACGTAGTTGTGTGGGAAATTCTAGGATTTTTGTAGTGGTCACTCATTAAATGTAGTGTCAAAAAGGCTCCACGGTACTGGTATCTACAAATATTTGAAAATAAAAAAAAAATGGTTTAGAAAATAATACCCATTTCCCAACAGAAATCACCTTCAATTCACTGGAAGTGGGAATACAATCTGAGTCTTGAATTACATGACCCTGAAAGTAGCATAGAGGCATGTTTGACAGATAAGACGGCAGAACAGTTGCTTCAGATGACCGCTTCACAGTTTGCAGAACATGCCAAGAACACTCAAGAGCAAGTGCTGGAATCAGCATTAGCACAAGAATGTCTGTTTGGTATTTCATCTTTTAGAGGCAGACATCAGATTGATGCCATTTGTCTGGCAAGTTGAAAAAAGTACCGGTATTAAAAGCTTCTGGAGACTACACATACATTCAGTGTATGTTTATTTGGGTAATCTGTGTTTGTATGTTTGTTTCGCTGAACATTCTGCATATCTTATTTGTCAAGTTTAACACGTTTATGTTCAATGTTACGCATGCTCCATTTGAATTTATATATTGCAATGCTTGTCAATTGCGTAATGCGTAAAATTTAGAGTTGTGTAATATAGCTAAAATTACCAGTTGTAAAAACAACCAAGCTAACCAGATTTCAGTCGTGTTTGCTAACCAGTTATTTGCTGAGGATTTTACCTGAAAGTTTGCTTCAAAGTACATCAATTACGGAGGCAGTCAAAAAGTAAGTTTTCAGTTGGTTTATAACTTATATTTACATTAATTTCCTGTTTGTTTTGAACACTTGAAAGGCCAAATACGAGCATAGGTTTTTTTTGTATAGTGTACATCACATTCTATTATTAAATTAAATATGGTTCTTCCTCCATGTTGGCGTCTTTGAGCTTTTGTTCAACGGAACAATAATCATTATTACGCTGACATAATTGCACAATATTAATATTCATTTCTGTGTAAGATTACTATAATATTTATTGTTACAAGTAAACAAACATTAACTTCAGCTTTGCTGTAACTTGCTCATCAGTTTGTTGACGAGTTCAGGAAAAGCCATTGACATAAAGTGTCCTTTTTCAGCAAATTGGTGAAACTCAGCAGCTGTCCCTTCAGCAACTTGTTCCTGCTCACTGAATGGAATAAAAGGGTCATCTGTTGAACCAAACTGCATAATCCACTGTGTGTTTTGTTTGACTTGTTCCCATTGCCAGGGACGGTTGTAATAGCCTGAAATCAAGGACAAAATGTAACACATTGCAATCAGTGGGACAGGACATGGGTGAGTGATGTGTTAGAAAATAGCCCAAAGAAATTACACGCATGAAGTGACTGGTAGTATTTCTACTTCCCCATGGATGGGCTGGTAGTCCATCGCAGGGTTACCCCCAGCATTAAATCTGCTGACCCATTTATACATGGAGAGAGGCACTGTGAGAGTAAAGTGTCTTGCCCAAGAAAACAACACAATGTCCCTGGCCAGGGCTCGAACCCAGACCACTCAATCCGGAGACAAGCTAGCCTGATTCTCTGACGGTCCAGGTCATTCGCGGCCACGTACTCTCTCTCCATGGCTGTGAATGATCTGGACCGTCTGAGAATCAGGCTAGAGGCAAGTGCACTAACCACGAGGCCAATGCCCCTCCACAAATCAAACAAGCAATGAAACGCAAATCAGATGCAATGAAAGCAATGGCCATTTTTGTAATGACAATAAGCAAACTTTCTTACCACTAGCTTTCTCATTGGCATCTCCCAGATCTGTAACACAGGCAGATACCAGAACCAGACCATGAACAGAATGATTTTCTGCATACCTAAGTTTAAACAAAACATTGCTTATAAAAAATACAAAATATGATTTTATTATTGTGACTTCACAAGCTTGGATCACCTCAAGGCAGCTTGTGCCCCAGAGCTGTGTCCAATAATGACTGTATTACTGTCACAGTTAAGGTGTTGCTCCATGAACGGGATCCATATTGCTTCACGTGCCTGCACTGTAAAAATTATGAACGAAGTCAAATGTTGCCATCATTGATAACTTCATTATTAATTCAAAAACACACTTCAAGAGATGGTTATGCATTTACAGGGAAGACACTTGTCTTGTTATAACATTCTTTAATGTATAAACCTCAAAACATGTTTAATGTTTTGTACATCTATATACTGCTACAACAGCAGACTTAACAAATTACTGGACAATCTATCCGTCTTCTGGATAGGAACACTTACCAAATCTCTTCAACAATATCTTTTTAAAGGGGGAGGGGGGTGTAAAATGTTGATAGGTTTTTTCATGGTTAAATTGGGACATTTCATTTATATCCCTACCCCCTACCCTCTACCCCCTCCCCTCTATAAAGGACAGATGTATGCTCCTTTGAAAAAAATTTCTGATAGAACTTGTGTCAGAGGTTGCCCTCCATAGAAGGGGAAATGGTGTTGCAGATAAAAAATGGAATGTCCCATTCAAAGGCCATGTTTGGGGTGGAAGCCCAGGAAGTCTAAGGGGAGGGACCCCATATGAGAAGCACGGGGTTGCTCATCGCAAATTTTGAAAAGAGCTCCTAAGAGGTACCAACAAGGTACAACATGCACCCCCATCCTTTTTATATGAAAGTCCCCCCGGGAGTGGAAGTGCAGTGTACGTTCAATACTGACGTTTACTTAAGTTCAGTTCTGGCTCTCTCTCTGCCACAGTTTTTGAATTCGAAACTCGGTTTGCAGAAACCTCTTTTGCTAGCTATGTCTACCTACCTGGATCAGGCATATTCTTCAGCAGACAGTCCACGTCTTTCTTAAAGAATAATAATTGGACACTTTTTCCTCAGTTTGAATTTTTACGTTGAAAGGTAAAGCAACAAAATTGACGCGATACAGGATATTTGCGGGGAAATCAATGGGATATTAAGAAAAGAAAAAACAAGATATCGAGTAGGAGAATCGTTAATTTTCGCCCCTGGAATTAACGGACACTTGGGCCAAAAATTAACGGGATGTGGGGTACACAGACCCCTCTTTATTTAATGCACGTTGTTTAAAACGTTTCCTCACCTCTCTGAGTTTGTCTCTTAGCCAGCCATACCAGTTGCTGTGTTCGACATCACCTCCACCATTACCAGGAACGATAACAATTTTTACTTTACTCATTTGAACAGGATAAGCCGCACGCTATTAAGAACTAAGCCTGAAAAAAAGACGCCATTTTCATTTTTGTCGAGAGGGGACTGGTTTCTCGTACCCAGGGCCCAGATAGTAAACCCAAAGATTAACTAAGAGGATAAAGTAACGACTACCCGAAAGTAACGTCAAAATATTGTGCCCGCTGGTAAATTCCGAAAGTAGCCGTTGAACTCCCCCCCTCCCTCACCCCCAAAGTGGCAAGCCCACTCCAACCCCCACTAAAATAGCGAGAACAAGATTCAAAAGGATATTTCTTTGTCTTACCAATAGTCAAGGGAAAGTTGCGTATGGTACTATAGTTGCTAATTATAATAACGGCACTCTAGAAAAAGGGAAGGTATCGCTTATGCCACGAAACGTTGTGAAATGTCACTTCGTGCTTTATCCGTTCATGTTGCGCGTTCATATTGCGCTTTTTTAAAACAAAACCGGTAGAATTTTCATGAAACAGGAACGTACTTACAGGAAATTTAGAATTGAAAACTCTGTGCCATTTTCAACAGCCGCGCGTATTTAAAGGCGAACGTTTCCTTTAAAAATTGAAAACTCGACCAGCGCACTGAGATAGCAGATTAAGGGTCTTGAAGTAGAATCGTACTAGCTTTCCAGCCGATCAACCACACGACCTACACATAAAGAGCCCCATGTGACAGCAACAAAGGTAAACTTAAACTGGAACGAAGAATTTCATCTTATGTTGTAAGGGCTGTTTTTTCACGAATTTCCGTCTTTTATTTGGAAAAAAAAGACTCAGCTGCACGAACTTTAATATAACGTTGTATGCTTCCCGAAAGTAACGACCCCCTTAACGAGCCCCAAAGGCTTCTAATTTTGAAAGTTATAAGGGTCGTTACTTTCGGAAGTTTACGGAAGTTTTCGGAAATTTCCAATTAACAATTAGACCCCTAGCCCGCAAGGGCTATAGACCCGTGGCCCTTGAGGGCGAAGGGTCTAATTGTTTTAGTATCACCCAACTAGTCACAGAAAAGGCAATAATAACGTTAGCAAATAGTCCTCTAGTAGCTTAGCTAATCAAAATGCAGGATTTGCATTAGTCCACTAGTTGAGTGATACTAATGAAAGATAGCCAACGAGGCGCCTAGCGCCTTATGAGGTGCCAAGCATATCGTGCCCAACGCTACAAAATGTTTACACTTTTTCGCTGTTGTAACACTTTTTAATTCTAAAAGTAAATTGTTTGTATTACAAACATCAAGACAAAGGTTATCTCTCCCACATTGCTTTCGTCAGATCTGTACGAACTTTAAAATTACCCAGATCTAAACTTTGCCTTCTTTTACACTCTAGAAACTTTAGGAGAAAAAAATCAATTTTTCGTCTCAATATATTGGTTTTACTTTGAGACAAGGGTTAAATTAGTAACCGAAAATTTGCAGAGCCAAGTTCAAATATTCTCTAAATTACTTGAACTTTTAATAATTTATAACTAAATTGTTTATGTATATTCGAAAGCTTGCTGTGTTTAACAATATTGTCGTTTAACTTTCGCTCCGTGAAGTTAACGATAGTTTCTGATCTTAGTGCATAGATGATACCTAGAGAACAATAACACACTTTGCAAGGTCACAGTTTCATGAATAACGTCTTTTTATGCTGGTCCCAAAAAGATCTTTTGACGAAATGAAAAACACAGTTAGGTGGTAAATTTGCAAATTCAACCCGAAGAAACTCGCTTGAAACCTTACTGGAGATTTTTACCTTACTGTAACACACTAATATAGAATGCTTCATTCTGAAACAAGCCGCCAGTCTCTAAATGTTTCGTAGTTTAACTTGTTAGTCTTAGTATTTGTATTTTTTTCCTTTGCTTTTTCGTTTTGCTTTCACCGACGTCAGAAGGTCCATGAACTGAGTTTGAACATTTTCGTTGAAGAATTGTTTTTCCCTGTCCCTCGTCTCGAAAGTCTTCGCTTTTGCATTCACTTCTCCCTCTAGGTTCAGCTGAGCATCTTCGAATTCTTGCATGGCGTCTTGAAACTCGCGATAACTTTTGCTCTTCGCCGCTTCAGCATGCTTCTTGGTTTTGCTGGCCTGATTTTTTCGCAGCTTATCCTTTCTGATATCAATAGCTTTGCCATTATTGATAATCATAATACCATCTTCAATCTTGATTTCCGATAATGACTTTGAAAGTTCTTTTGCCTCTTCTCCTGGCGTGGAAACACCGGCTTTTTCGTCGCTGACCGTTTTCTCTGGACTTTCCATCGAAGGGACACTAGCCGCGCGTTCAAAAGATCTGCGTTGACGCTGTCTTGTTGAGGTAGTACTAGTGTTGAGCGTTTTCGAAAGTGTTGGCTGTGAACGGCGTCTGACAAGAGGAACAGAATGCGCTTGTACCCATATAGACGATAACTCTGGTACTTCAGTGCGGAGAAAATCATTTACTGGCGTACTGGGGCAGCTGTACATTCGTTTACGATAATAACCACGAACTTTAGTACGAGTTACAGTGGGTTGCGGATTCTCCACGCTGTCTTCCAAGCCAGGGCTTCGAGGCGGTGTCTGCAAAATCTTTGTTCCCCATCTTACTGGACTAGAGGAACTCAGACACTGAGAACTGCCGCTAGCAGTGGTAGTCAAATTTCCGGGAAGAACTTTCTCGTTACTTTCAGACCTCGTGCGCGTTTCTTTCAAGTCGTATTCACTCACAATTCCGAATGGAAACACACTTCGCTGTCGTCCGTATGAAACAATTTCTGGACTTGGTTTCGCAGTGGAAGCTTGCTCGTCGGGGCTGGTTGCGGAGCAAGGCGATTTTGGTGACTTTGCCGGACTGTAATGCGTTGAGTATATGTTCCAACTTTTGGTCTGATTTGAAGGGGTCGCCATTCAATAAGGAATCCGCTACATGTGAAGTCGCTTGTGCAAAACAAAGACAAGAAAAAAGGAAAGGAGACGGAAAACTTTGTGTACTCCACGCGATTACCTTTTCAAATGCAAACCTAACTTTCCGCGGCTTAAGATATAATCACTTAAAACAATTTGTTTCAACAACCGCCCATTGACAACCACTTAAGTCAACTTCACTCACAACTTGATGTTTCAAATGCGTCAGGCGCCGAAATGAAAGCTATTGGTTATAAAACAAACCCGCGTGTAACCTAAGAGGTTGTCTTAGGTAATTCTAACTGTGCTTTCTACAGAGATGAGCTATCAAGGATTATATTCATGCCACGAACTGAAACAATTCAGTTTAATCCGTGAGCAACGACAGGTGGATTTTATTTATTCATCGCTTTATTTCACACTCATATCTATAGCTTCGGTCTTAATTTTCATGTCTGCAACACACTTTCTTATCCCGTGAATTGGTTTTTATCAGTGAGAAAACAACCACAAATTCACCGTTTAAATTGCACGCAACTTAAAATATAGTAAATACGACAATTATTTACCACTGGTGAGGTTTTTTTTTTTATCTAGTTAATGGCATTGTCCCCACACTTATCACAAACTGTTCGCTTCTCACGAAACCTAAATCATCCGTTTTTTGCGTTATTTTTGTGCCTAAAACCCACGGGGAAAAATCACTTTAAGTTCTAACATATATGCAAATGAAGAAATGCGATATCAAGAACAAATTAGCGATATGGATATATAAGCTAATTGCCGGACTTCTTGCCATAGATACTAGTCAATATTTCATGATATGTTCAAAATAAGGTACTAAGAAAGATACTGAAACTTATCCCACTCATTCAAATATTGCACAATATATTTTTAATTAACATTTCTTATTCACTAGGTTTCAAAGAAATTCGGTTTTGTAAACCAAGTTTGTATTCTTTGCGATACTGTTCAAGTCATCTTGCTCGTACACAAGGTCAATAAAACAGAAAATAAATATTCTAAAACAGCTTTAATTTGTAATTTTAAGTTTAATTGTTTAGGCAAAGTCAATAGTGAACATTTTTGCTGCTATTTTATAGTGTAATTTTGTTCGCGAAACCAGTTAAGCAAACCACGACGACGACAGCGGCAACGAGAACATCACCAAACAAAAGGTTTAATGAGAAAACCAAAAGCTGTGCACGTGCGTTATTTAAGCAATAGACCACAAGTTTTAATGGTTTATAGGCTGATAAACCACGCGGGATGATGGAAGAACCCGAGAAGAATTCGTAAATCACGAGCCGCAGGCTCGTGATTTACGAACTCTTCGAGTGTTCTTCCAACATCCCAAGTGGTTTATCATGCCTCTAAACCATAGAAACTTGTGGTCTATTGCTTTTATATAATAATTCAGAAGACACGCGAAATTTCCATGAGTTTACTGGCACAATAAACCATAGCTGATTGAAATGGTTTGGACAAGTAACTATTTTTAAGAAATGGACAACAACTTTAAGTTTAAAACAAGACATGTTTCGATCGTTCAACGATCATCTTCAGTTGTGAATTCGTTTACAAGTTCGGTTGAATTAATACAAGCAATGGCAATCAGAGCGCGCGCATTCATTTGATTATTATATAAAAATCTTTGTACATTTCTTTGCCGTCCACTGCAAAACAACAACGTGAAATGACCAACGCGAACGACGAACATTTTTGCTGGTAAACATAAATTAATTTTCGACTAGGCGTCGTCCTCGGCCTCGCCGTCGTCGTTCCTTAAGCTCCCTATTATAAGTGTCTACTTTTATAGAAATAGTGAAACAAGACATCTGAATGAAATGGAGAAACCCATATTATTCTATAATATATATCACCAAGGGTTTAGTCCGAGTTAAAATGCCTGTGATATCTTAACATTCAATTCGTTCGAGCCCCAATTTACAAACATTTCTTTATTACGAAACCGCTTTTAGTCGCTAGCAGTGACATTTTTGCTAAGAAACATTAACTCTGTAATGCGGAAACCTCGTTAATAAAGACACTTTCTGCATGTCAGTGGAACAACGGGGTTTGACTGTACCGCAAAGTCTTAAAGGGGCAACCAATTAACTTAAGCATGCCTTGTTCATGATTTAACTCCCGTAATTAAAAATTTACAAAACATGTACACCTAAAAATAAGTTACCAAAGTAGACAGTATTCCTTACAACAAAAGAGCGCCTAATTTAGATTCCTAATTCGTTTAAAATCGTCTTTAATTTGTGAACAGAATTGAATTGTATTTCAGTAACTAAAGACTCTGGGCTATGCCCTTGGTACAGTCGTCATTTAAGACACACCGAAATGTCTCTCATTCCTGCTGAGCCAACTTGTACGCCTTGATTCTAGTGAGAATGATCAAAGCTCTCTTCTTTACATTTTCATTTTCGTTAGTTGTGAGATCGTCCAGCGCTTTGCTCAATCCTGCTACTTCTAAGTCCCGCCGGAAATATTCTGCCAAGAACAAAAATATCTCTGTCTTACACGTAATGCCTCGATACAGTGCGCTGGACGGTGGAAGGAGTAACCTGGGTTCAAGCCCTGGTCAGGCTAATTGTGTTGAGTTCCTGGGCAAGGCACTTTACTCTCAGTGCTTCTTAAATGGCGGATGATTAAAAGCGATGTGGAATGTCTTCCCACAAAAGCGCCTCCCACGCAAGAGGAGGAGCAAGAGTAGGAGCGGACGGGGGCAGAAAGGGGCAGAAGCAAGAGCTGGAGGAGGAGGAGGTAGAAGGAATAGAAAGAGGAGGAAGCCAACGAGAGAAGCAGGAGTAGGAGGAGGATGAAGAGGATGCCTCTTAAATTCTGTCTGATGCTGGGAGTAACCCTACCATGGTCTAGCATCTCACCCAAGGGGCAATAGAAATATTCCTAGTCGCTCTGTGGCACGCAAACTGCAGACAAGCACCGGCCTTTTATGGCCACTAAAAGCTCGAAGCAGATTTACCTCTTTTTACAACTCAATTAACTTTGCAACCTATGCGTTAAAAGGCACCGTGTGAGTAGATTGTCTTGACCGAAAACACACCACAATGTCCCTGGACAGAGCTGGAACCCAGCAACTATTAGACTCCCAATAGGCAACCGTGCTTTACACCATTAAAAAACCTTACAAACCTTTTAGTGAAAATGATTCCAAGACAGCCATGGCGTTATAACAAGTCTGTGGATTAATCCCTTCTGTTTTAATCATCTTGATTAACGTTTGAATGACACCACTCTCCCTAAACTTGGGGAAGCAGTTCTCTGCATAGAAAAACAAACAGCAAAGTAAATAACGTTCCGTCAACACTAAGCAGGAGAACTTTGAAAAAGCTGCTTTATTTCTTAGGTTATGTCTACCGTCCACACTAATCCGTCAAGGAGCTTTTCGCAAACGTTCTTCAAACCTGGGGAAGTTGAAAACGCCGGCTTTGCGTTTTAGTGCGGACGGAAAACATGTTGAAAACGGAGCTTGTCGAAAACGATTACATCGCGATAATAACGTGATTTCCCTGCCCGAATGTTACTGTTGTTGCGTTGCTGTCGTTGTTTTTTCACTTAGTTGATGACTTTCTTATTTCTCATAACCTCTCTATTTGCCAATATATTGCCTTTGTAACAAGAAATAAGATTTTGATCTCTGGGGAATTGAAGAGTTAGCGCAAGGGCAGTTACCATAGTAACTGAGATTTGTACCTCCCACTGTTGATGACATTACAGCTAATGCAATCAAAGCTTCGTTCTGCATAATCACGTGTTCCGAAGATACCATGGCAACGATAGGGGTTAGTCCTCCACTTGTGATCAATTTTTGTGAGACTTCTGTTTTGAGCAAAGAAAATGGAGAAAGGTAAAGATCAACCAATGTAAAGTAAGAAAGAGCGTGCAATCAAGAGAATTTTGCACGAGTATTTGTAATGGAGGTAGTATATCAAACACGAAAGATCGTGTTTGACCACATTTCCAAACACTGAGAAGAGAGTTGAAAATACGACGCACAGCGGAGTATTTTTTGACGAACTTCGAGGTGTTTGGAAACGTGGTCAGACACTGTCTTGAGTGTTTGATATAGTTTCTCAATCGAAACTAAAACTAAGGAGAAAACGGAGAAATAAAATCGTAGAAATCTGTGCTAATTAAGATCAGATATCCAAACACCGTCACGGTCATGATTTCCTTCGTTTAAACTTGATAAATTATTAATGAGTTTGAGAAAGTAATATAATCTACGACTGGAACTTTAAAATTTTCATATCTGATCTGGGGCCTGTTTCTCGAAGAACCCGAAATGTTTTCGCAACCGGAGAGCCGTAGCAAAATCTCAAACCCTTATGATTACAGAGCAGTTTTATTCACATATTCTTAATACGAACAGAAGTTCTCTCCATACAAGAAGCTTCAGGCGTATATATACACCTCTCTGTTTTTAGATACAGATTAATTAAAAATGGCTTTACGGGCCCGAAAAGGTTTCGGGGCTTTCGAGAAACGGGCCCCAGCTCCGTAAACAAAACCTTCGGTTTTATGGACTGAGGCCGATCAGATAAAAACACCAAATATATTTGACCGGCTCATGCGACTTCCTAACCTTTCCTTCCGTCAAAGTGAATTTTAAAAAGGTCCTTATTCTGAGAATAAGCTACAAAGTATCTTAAACGAAAACCAAGAGAAGTCAATACAAAACCGCTTTACTCATTTCTACTGTTCTCCTCGTGTTGGCTTTATTGTTGACTGTTTCAAATCAAATACAGTGGAACCCCGCCTCACGGTCACCTCGTTATTACGGTCAGTCTTTTTTGTCCCGGCGAAACGGCCATACATTTTCTTAAGACAACCCCGTTACTAAGGCCACTCAAACCAGTTATGTTCATCTTTCCATCGTAAATTGGGAGTTTAAGAAAACAACGACGGCAACGGCAACGGGAATGTCGCTAAAGAAAAGGTTTAATGAGCAGAAAAATGGCTGTGCACGTGCGTTATAAATCTTGGTACATTTCTTTGCCGTCCTCTGCAAAACAACAGCGTCTAAATTCTGCGTTGTCTGAAGAACGTGAACCACGACGGCTAATTTTTAAATTTTTATTTCAGATTTATCGCTGTGTCCTACATTCAGTTTTGTCACGATAGTTTTGACAGAGAGAAAAGAACTAAATGACTTAAGAGTATCGCGAGATTCGTAGGTAAAGTATAAAGTCATTTTTTTTATTGACGTTGTCCTCGACGTCGCTGTCGTGGTAACTTAAACTCCCTAATGTTGTTTGTACTGATTGAAATTTCAGCCATAGCTGCATTTCGAATGCTTATTATAGAGCAGTTTTTTAGAAGTAATGTTCTTGTTACTCTATGTTTCTTTCTAATCATGACACATACCTCGTGACTTTAAACATCTATCAAAGCAGGAAAACTACTTGAAATTGCATTTAGTTACCTGCACTCTTGGCCTCTTTAACAATCACTGCCAACATCCTGCTAGCCTCAGATTTAACGCCCTCGTGACCACTGGACTCACAACACCGGACTAAGGTGCTTAGGTGTTCGTTACTGCTAACAATCCTATTGGCTACGTCAGCTGTAACGCAACAAAACAAAATGGCATTGTATGTCAGTTGCGACCAAGCTTCTTATGAAAAGTAAAATTGCAAATGACGTGCGTTTTATTGGAGTGGTCTTCAATTGTGTAAACCCAACGTAAAACCAACCAAAACCAAAGAAAAACCTCTAGCCAATCCCAGAGGACACGGACAATACAGTGAACCAATCAAAGCTCGAAGTAATTACAGGTAGCTGACGAAAAGCGCGGGAAAACCAGTGCGAGCGAGTCACAATTGGTTTTGGTTAAACTCTGACTGGATGGAAAAGTGGCGCGAGTTTTTGAAATCAATCGTGTGACGTAGTTGATGTAAAACCAATTACTTTTCGACACTCCAATGAAAATCGCTCTATGGATCTGAGACTCCTTTTAAAACTGCGTACTAACCTTGACCAGTCAAGAGCATGCGCAGCGTGCCCAGAACTTTAAACTGGACAAAAGGAGACTGGGTCGAGAGTAGTGGGAGAATGACATCCAAGCAGCCGCTTTCAACGAGCTTCACTTTGTTAGCCGCTACAGGAACAAAGAGAAAATTTTACCCTTTAACGAAATCTTAAACTGTCACAAAAATCAAAGGATGGAAAGTATAGATGTAAAAAAGATGTCGGTATTACGTGACATTCCTTGGATGGGCTGTCTATATACATAAAGCGCTGGACAAACGGACTTGCAGGTAGTCTGTAGTAGCCGCAAGTGACTTGCGTCGGGTGGCCAAACAGACTCACAAGTTTTCTCGCAAGTACACGCAAGTCGCAAAAATACCCATTTCAAGGCATAGTCGGGCTTAGTCCCGCGCGGCCAATATCCTGTATTTCATTGGCTAATAGGTTGCTAAAACGAACGGACGTCAATCAATTTGTGTTGGCTTAGGTTGGGTGACCAAACGGTGAAAAGTCTGCGTCGACTGGCGTCGAATTTGATCTTGACCAAAGTTAGCGCAAGTCATCACAAGTCCACGCAACTGCACAAAAGGCCTGGCTAAACGGAGCGTCAGTTTATTTATTCATTTACAGTGTCCTCAATAGCCAATTTCGAGATATTAAAATTCAGCCTAAAACAATAAACCTCAGTAAGAGGTTCCGGGGAATAACTACAGAGTTTGTGGAGTTTATTCCCCAGAGCCTCGTGCTGAGGTCTATTGTTTTAGACTGAATTTTCATATATCGAAATCGGTCTATTAGCACAACAAGGCTTAATACATTTGACACTTAAATAAATTTATTATTTATTTTTATTTTTTTAAGTAGACCCCTGTTCTGAGCTTGCGACTACTTGCGAGTCCGAGAATTTCTAAATTTTTCGCGTACAAAATATCTCCAGCCCACCTGGCATAGAAAGATTCTTCAGTGCGCTAAAAACTGCTTGCTGATGTCTGCCCATGTTCTGAAAAAAACAAACAAAATCAAAATAACAGTTATTAAGTTCCAACAGCGGTACTCGCTCTACCGTGAAAACTTTCCCTTTAAGGCTTTAACTTCTACGTAACGGCTGAGGAACTAAAATATAACAATTCAAGAACAAATATTGTATAATTGGCCTTTTTTTTCAATTCGCTATTTGAACTTTTTCGACTACAGTCGAACCTCCACTAACAGCCACCTCTCTACAACAGCCACTTTTATGGTCCAGGCGGACAATCCATACATTCACTCTTATTTTAACCTCTCCACAACGACAACCGCTTTATTCAAAACCCCACTTTTTATTGTAAAAGGTCGCCACACTTGATCCGTACCGCGCGTCGTTGGTCTCTGTTCTGTTTTACTGATGTATTTTGATTGTGTTACGTACAGTTTTTATGCCAAAATAAGCTTTTTTGTGGAAAAGAAATGTTGCATTCCCGAAAATACAGGTGTCATATTACACCCCTACCTCCCTATAACGCCCAACTCCCAACAACGACCACTTTACTCTGTCCCCAAGATGGCCGTCGTGGAGAGGTTCCACTGTACTGACATATATGTTTCTCTCTGTAACGACTCGATTACCTCTTTCTAGTGAGTGTTTTCTCTCAATGCCAAATCAGCCGTTGGATATCTGTCATTTACAAGTTCACTAGTTCAGTTAGTGACAATAATTTTTCAGAGTCGCACTCACGATAGAGCCTCCAGAAGTTTTGCCGTATATAACATATATTTACCTCTCTTTTGGTAGTTCGAGCTAGTAGCTGTAGTAGTTGTACATGGACTCCTTGTTGAACAAGTTTTATACAGTGTTCATCTGTGGACACAAAATGAGACTTGTGAGAGGTTTGTGGTAAGGAGGGGGACATTGGGGTTTGCGGTATTGGACAATCGGTATCGGTAATTTTAAACTGGATTTGCGGTATTGCCGCATTGCGGTATTCTCCGAAACCTGCGGGATGCGATTTTTAGCATTTTGGAAGGTATTAATTTAGCATTTTGTCCGAGCCTTTTCCAGTTTCCAATCGAAAAAGGGTACTACGATATTTTTTGTTAGAGTACATAAAAGAAGGGCAAACTCTTTATGCTTCCACCATCTCCCCTTTCCATCCTTTCCGCCTCCCTATCCTTGCTCTCTCTTCCCGTCGCTCTCCTACCTCCCTCTGCCCCTCTCTCTGCCCTGTCCCTCTCCCCCCTCTCTCTCCTCCCTCCATCTCCCCTCCTTCACTCCCTCCCTCTCTCTCCCATCCCTCCACCCTCCCTCTGCCACTCCCCCTCCCCCTCTCTGACTCGTCTCTCCAACTCCCTCTCCCCCTGCATTCCATCCTTTTTCTCCTAGCATATATTCAAAGCATACTGCCTGTTTATGGATCAATAGAGCTAATCAAAGATGGCAATACATAGTTGCAATTTAAGTTCCCTACCTGTTCTACCAAAGTTGCCAACAGCCAAGCAACCAGAAATTTCAAGATGCTGGTCTCCAGAAGAAAGCCAGGAAACACACATCTTGTAGACAGAACCATCACCATCATTAAACAGCAATTTCATGCTGTCATCTGCAGACAAAACAAAGATTTTTTTCAACATAAGTTATGTTTTGCTAAAAAGTTACAGCTGATCTCTACCTGAAAGGAAGATGGTAAAGTCACAAAGTGCTCTGTTTATTTCACCCTTCTGAGTGGATTCCAAGGCTAGGGTAAAGTCTGCATACAAGCCAAGTGGTCCATCAGGCCGGAGCTTATCCCAGTTTCTGTAGCATGAAGCAACTAGGAGTATTTCTACTCCCCCCTGGATAGGATGCTAGTCCATTGCAGCATTACCCCCAGCATTAAGCTCTAAGCATTATGTTTGCAGGTACCCATTTAATATAAACCTGGGTGTATAAATGCTCAAGATTACAATGATGTGCCTGACCAGGGGTCAAACCCGGACCACTCCATCCAGATAAAAGTGCACCAACACCTTCTTCTGAGTGGCTACTGATTCACCCTAAAAGATATATCAATAACAGACCAAGAACTAATTTCTCCTGACAAAATTTATATGGAAGTGTGGCAAAAGGAGTAGGGAGAATTTTACTGACCTTCAGTAAGAAGCATGACTATCATGTCAGCAGCAGATTGCACTTTTTCCCTCAAACTCTCATCATCAGTCACATTTTTAGCAGAAGACACAATGTTTGCCAGATGTTCAGCATATCCCTGTTGTACTAGTGCTTTCTTCACATTGTCTGAAAATAAAGTAAGAATAAAAGCATTGAAGAGAGTCCAGAAAAGAGTTTCACAATTTTCTTGCTGCCACAGCACCAGACTCTTTCCCATCCGATCACTTCGATCACAGATTTGCTCTTTCACCACTTGTGCATCAGGCCCAAAGGTGAGCCTTCTCGCAGGCTAGAGTACATAAGTGATAAAACACAGATTTTTCACAGCATTTGTGAAATTTAAATTAACATTTAATTTATTAATTAAAAACAACTTACCATCTACAACAAGAGACGAGAAAATTTCAAAAACCAAATCAACAAATTCTTTATCATCTGATTCTTGCAAGACTTTCATCAAAATGGTCACACCATCACTCTCACTAAAACTTGCTTTTCCCTTCTCTGCAAATGGCACATTAAATAATCACAAAACATCCAAAATTAGCAAAACTTGAAAATCTTTAGATAGACTACGAATAGTCCCTCTTTCAATTAGAATGTCAGACAAGACCATAATTAAACCATGAGGAAATAATGGCCTCGTGAAATCCATAAGGGCGAGAAGCGTGCGAAAGGAGGGACTACCCCAGGATTTCGCACTGCCATTTTTTTCTTACGGTTTTCTTTCATGTCACGCATGACAGACTAAGTGAAAGAGGGACTATTAGTAGACTAATCTTTAGACAAGTGTGACACTCTCTTTCCCATCAATTTTAACCTGATACAGAGATGACCGATATCTAAAGCATAAACTTGCCTGATGAGATGAGGACAGATACAGCTGATAAAGCCATTCGGCAGAGAGCAGTGTTGCTATGGAGACTTTGCTTGACAAAGCCCAACAAAAATGACACCGCCCCAAACGAAACTGCTTCTTCAGTTAGAGCCTCTGCGAT